GAGAGAGAGAGAGAGAGAGAGAGAGAGAGAGTTGATTGGAGACAGTGGGAGTAATAGAGGAGGTGGAGAGAGATCTGCACTCACCAAAAGTCCAGTATGGCATTGGTGCAGGCCTACCGACCAGTTGGGTGTACTGATCGGTGACGGCAGCTGGAGATGGTCCTGTGAAGAAGAAAAAGTCAAAGACACCACCAAGCACCCGGTATTGGATAGAATCCTCATTGACTTGAACATCCATCCCATTGCTGTTAAAGAGGAGGACGCCGTGTGCTGACCCATCCTTTCTGAGATCCAAATAATATGGGTGCACACCGTAAAGGTTCATGTTGGCATTACAACTGCTTATGTCCGCAGCCCATAGAGTGTGTGTCCTGTTGGGGGTAAGACGAAAACCATCCGGTCGTGTGCTCTCCCCGATCCCATAGAGCGACGAGTCAGGAGACGTGGCTGTTGAGAGCTCGAGATACTGATCTTTGAACGCCATGGTCCGAACAGCAGAAGTGGTCCCAGGCGTTGAGTTGAATAGAACCTCGCCTGTCGCATGCCGAGTAATCGCAAACCCAAAAGGCTTGTCTGTGTAAGAAAAGCTGAGGGGATGTCGATCCGGGTCGGGGGACATGGGGAGAGTCCCATCCTCCATTACAGTAGTCAAATCGTCCTCTTCCGCATCCTTCTCCTCCTCTTCCTCCTTGTCCTCCTCCTTATTCTCTCCTGAAAACCCCTCTTCTCGATCCTTTGATGATCCTTCTCCAAGCATGACCCTACGAGCCTGACTCGAGAAACTTGATTGTTGCAGACTGCCAGTTCTCTGTAAGTGTGATTGGCCACCCTCCGTACTTTCCCCATCTGATTTGATTCTCTCACTCTCTGTCCTCGCTGAGGTTGAAAAAAGATTCCGTGGAACTTCCCATCGAGGCGCACCATCCACGGCTGTTATGTGAACACGCAGCCTCTCTTTCGTCTCATACCTGGTAGGAGCAGGTGTTGGAAGGCAACAGGACAATGATCGCCGATGCGGTCAGTGGTGACCGATTGGTTGATTGATTGCTACACGCATTGACATAACCAAACTGGAAGTATTATGGTGAGTGTACTCAACCATAAGTGGCTCGCTGTGACAGCAACAATCCATTGCTTGCAAATATATTTGCAATGTATCATTCACACTCCTTTCAAGTTCCTGGCTCTTTCTGAAAAGGGGGTTAGGTGTGAAGGCTATTGTATCCATCAGGAATTGAACTCACGAGCTGATTATCAACAATTGCATGTATGTACCATTCAGCCGCCACAAAGAAGGTGCATTCTCTCATTTGCTGTACGTGTATTACTTTTGCTACCTTCTTCCCCCAAATACAACGTACAGTCATTATAGCTGTATATAGACTGAAAGATACCCCAAATACAGCTATAATGACCGTACATTGTATTCGGGGGAAGAAGGTAGTTTTTCAAAAGGGAAAATTGCACTTTTGCTACTTTTCCAAAAGGGGAAATTGCCATCAAGCCTCCAACTCCTTAGTAGCTCTATCAAACTAAGGTAATAATGTTTCTTACATCTTGACAGGGAGAATTACCATTCACTCCCTGCAAAAGCATCTGATGACCATTTTGACCCGGTCAGAATGTACCCAGCTGAACGTCAGGACGACAAGATGCACAATCTTTTTCTTTTTTTCTTTTTTTTAATAACAACCACACAGCCCCGTCTATTCTGGGGGGCATCAGTCCGGTTACTTATCACCGGCAAGCAAGGTTTTTGTAACAGGCAACGGGGGAGATTAGACAGAAAAGAAAGGCAGCCTATCCTTGTGGCTCAAGACGCCTATACAAGGGGGGTTGCTACAACAAAGCCCACTCCCACCCTTCCTTGGGCATTGTCCTGGAAGTCGGGAAGCTTACTAGCAGCACCCAGGCACGCTGCAGGATAGTCCCCAAGGGGTCAAGGCACGGGGGGGAGGAGTGTCGGTCCTAGAAGCCCCACAGGGCGCATATTACTCACTCACACCTTCCCACCATCACTATCTACGCCCTATGTTTCCTCTGCCTCCTATCAACACATCGTCTGTGTCCATGTTTTTTTTTTGGTGCAGATTTTCTGGTACATGGCAAGGACAATATGGGTCCATGAGAGATGTCATACATCTGAGAAAGGAACACTCACTGAGCATATCAATCTCATTGAGCATATCACACATCATAGTGCACACCAAACGTAGGCTAACACATGCTGGAGCATTTGTCCCAAAAAAAAATAAATAATAATAATAAAAATCCAACACATGATTGAAAAGTAGAGTACACAGTCGGTCAACATTCAACTTTCCACAACACCCAAGAACCGCCGTTCGTTCCGCCTACCCGCCGACCGAAAGAGGACTTCTACGAAACAATCATTGCTTAAGTACTACACGAACCTGGTGTTGTCGTTCCTCAAAAGGCGCATGTCAGGTCTGAATTCCTGACTCCTCCGGTAAAGACCATAGCTACTCTTAGTTATGATGTTACCGGTTCGAATCCATGATGGTCCGTAGTATCAAGCATCCTGAGCCCAATACAAATCCAAACCAAACGTCGAGCCTGGGCTCCAAGGCCCGGAAAATCTAGTATAGAGCCCAAAACACAAGCCACACAAAACCAAACGAGCCCGGGCTCCAAGGGCCAAAAAACGGTATCTAAATATTCAAAAAGAAACCCTGTTACTACTGCGTGACATATCGAGCCAAAAACAACCCAAAGCAAAACAGGCCCGGGCTCCAGAGGCCAAACTCCGTATCTTACTGCGCACTAAGAAAGGCGTGAGAAAAACACACTATTCCATGGAAACCCTGTTACCAGTACACGGCCTTCGATTTCAGAGAAAGCCCACCTACTTACATACCAAATCCAAAGCAAGCTTCCAGTGCACGTCCCTACCATGCACAAAACGTTTCAAAACACGCGGAAAGAAATCATTCGGGACATCCTTCAGTCGTGATTCACGTTTCAGTGAAATTACCTGTCTCGGGATTTCATGTGGCGCTGAAGTATTTTGATCGATGCGATGTAAATGGCTAGCCAGGACGACACTTTTCTGTGTCTTACTACCCCATGATAAGTAAGACTAGCCGTTGAAGAAGGACAAATGTTCGCCATTCCACATTGAATCCTCATTTTTGGACACTTGCACACAGTCCAACACAGGATGATGTTCATTGATCCGGACTTCACACCCTACGAAGTCCCATCTCCCCGATCCGTCATCCGTTCTCTTCAGGGTGAGGTTATCAGGATAGCACTTTGAGAAATCTGAAAAGATTGAATCAACCTCCTGAGGGACAAGTTTCCCAGTTGCGACGATCAGACTGACATCATCAATCAATCTGACCCCATGCACTACACTCTGTTTCATTCCCAAACTGCTGACTGACATCATCAATCAATTTGACCCCGCGCACTACACTCCGTTTCTTTCCCAAACTGCTGAGGAATCGATATTCTGCACGCACACGCATGATGCATGCAAGAGGGGGACTTGTGCTCTTACCCATGGGGATTCCTACTTTTTGTTGAAGCAGAATCCCCAGAGCTTTAGTGAAAGTGTGCTTCAGCTCGAAAACAACAAACTGCCGGATCTCCTTGAATTCTATTTTCCTCCAATGGTCAAATCCGGTCGTCACTCCAAAGCTAGCCCCTCTTCCTCGTGGGTTAACACGGACGAATGTTCGTCCTTTCCCTTCATGAAAACACAACAACCAATCAACTGTGTCCAGAATGTCGTGATGTGGCAGAAGGCTGAACATATCTTTAATATCGAAGGACCTTGCGACTACGTCAGGTAAAAGTTAAGGCTACCCAGTTTCTTGTTAATCGATTCAACCTTCTTTGTCAATATCGATACCGCCTTAAGGTTGAAATGCCAATCCTGGGGGAGGCAATCCAAAAGGTGATTTAAGCACCTCAGCAACCACCTTGCTTGTGCGTGGCGTTGGTTCCGGATAAGACGGACAAATGGGACAGAAGCGATCGAGGTCCTTGTGCTTCGGCATGGCGTAAGCATGACCGATAGTCCCTTTACTGTCCCATCTTGCAAAGTCAAGGATCCCCTCCGTTTTCAGTTCCGATCTCATATCCCTCAAAATTGTGCTCTCATTCTTTGTGACCGGAACATACTCAATATTCCGGATGAATAAGGACAACATACCCTCATAATACAACAATGGGCACATCACCAAAGTTTCTCCTGGATTCCTATCCAGGGGAGTGAGAACAAGACCCTTAAATTGCTTTCTCAACTCAACAACATCCCTCGTATCCGCAAAACTTTCCTCCTGCGACACAACATTCGTCATGCAACGGGTCAATTCATTGGCAGAACAGACAACAGATTGACCCTTCGCGTCCGTCCAGCTTCTGAAACCCTCGCTGATCTCCTGTCCCAACCTCAATACCCTATCTCTATGATTTATTTTTGGGACATTGTTGGAATTCGTTAATAAGGTAGGAACATATTCCACCCCGTGCAATCTAACACGTACGTGACCTCGTACCCGTGGGTATGGTAACCCTGAACATGCACAGGCTGACACTTCCTTTCGAGCAAAGGCTCGGTGGTTGTGTATTAGATCCGCAACACTTGGATTACGTGTCCAAATGATGCGGAGTGAGCTTCACGCGCGTCTAATTACACAAGGTGGGAGAAGCAAATTTCCTAGCTTATCATTGACCAACTTTCGAACTTCAGCCATCTTAATACAATCATCAAAAAGCAAGCGGATCATAATTTGAGTAGAGAAATTGAAACCAAAAACATCCTTCACACATCCAATCAAACGCCTCAGATAAGCACGTGTACTCTTTTTCTCGAAATCCTTGACCGTATTGTACAGGCTTGACAATGAAACCAAGTCCCATCTTCGGAGAGATTCAAAACGTTTAGGATTACGTACGAGTGAGATCAAGAAAGGCTTATTAACACTCATACGGGCTCTCCATCGTCTCACATACTGAAATACAATACAACCCTCGGTTTCAAAGGCAAACTTGAAATCCTTCAAGCATCCGTTCCTACCATCATAGTTAACCGACGAAGATCCAAAAGCCTTACGGATCCCTTTCCAACGGTCACACCACGTATCAACTCCTGAGTACGTAAGACTTGGAAAATGCTAACCGACCAGGGGTCATCCGAATTCGTTCGTACACGTATCGGGCATATGCCTCAGTTGTCGACCCTATCCCCACTTACCTTCTTCACCTGTCTGTTTCGTTCCTTCTTACCCCGCCTTCCCTTCTTACTGGAGCTCGTAAGTTTCCTTGTTGTATTAAGAAAAGGACTCGATTTCCTAATAAAAGTGAATTCAACGGGGAGCAAATCGATGGGTTCCACAATCTCCACAGGGAGCTGGGCATACGACTTCATACCAAAGCATTTCCACCATCTGTAAAGATGCATGTTCTTTACTATTACGTCTATATACCGACAAATGTTCCCTCCATCTCGCCACAGGTGATCAGGAAGTCTGTCCAATATATTGTGACTTACATGTGATCGAGGTAATCACATACACACAATTAGGGTGGGTTAGAAAATCCAAACCAAATTGCGAAAAGAGCTTGACCCAAGAATCGACACATTTAACAAGCCATCAGTAGCATTCATGTAGTGCAAGCAAGAGAATCAATAAACAGAAGATTAGGTTCAAATCATCATCCGCTGAGTGCCGAAAAGCCATGATCACATTTGACACTACGACCCAGTGATCAGTAGTGAGGCCAGTTCATGCCTGTGCTTCATCATTAGCTTCCTCTTCACTTGATTGTGTTTCCTCGCCCAGATTCACGCAAGCGCCGAAGTCTGGCAGAAGGTCACCAAAGTGCAGTTGCGCTCTTCGGTCGGCAATATCGAAGATCGCTTGCACCTTCGTGGAGTAGTTAACTCCTTCGTCTCAACAAATCGTTCGCAGTGTATCGTAGTCCATTCGTGACAGTT